AATAATTATTCAACTTTATATAAAGATTACATGCAAGGAAATAAATAATGACAAGAGTACAATCAAATGGAACAAAATTATTCAATACAGCCAAAGAGAAGGATAAAACAATGTTTCATTATATGTATATGTATAATAATGGATTAACAAACACTATAGTTGAGTGTAAAGACACATTGCCCCTCTGTTCAAGTGGCTGTGACTCAAATAATGTAGGCCGCAAATTTTAGCTTCTTTGTTACGTACATACTGAATATGGTTAACCCAGTATAGATGTATATTCGCAAGAACTCCCACGAATTGAGTTTGCTCTACTTCCCCTATCCTATGATTGTTGATAATCTGCATAAGCGGGTAGGAGGTGGCTTTGTGCCTGAAGATAAACTGTTTTGTCGGAGCTGATGGTCAGTTTGTTTGAAACTATCCAGCTGTTAATGGCCACAAAGTCTTTGTTCATTCTACTTATCAGACTCAATATTTCGTTCAGAGTGATTATGGTGCAGTCATCTACAAAAAGGATGAAACGTAGAGCGGAGGATGTTCTAGACATAAAAATTATATATAGAAAGAAAAGCTTCGGTACGAGACTGGATCCTTGAGGTACCCCATATTTGACAGGAAGTATATTTGATGATTTGCTCTTCGTATGAATAAACTGCATTCTATTTGTCAGAGGTGAGGGACAGACGAAGTGTAGGAAGGCAAAGGAAGAGATGGAAAGATGCTGTCAAGGAAGATATGAGAGGGCAAGAAGAAACTCAAGATCGAAGATTATGGAGAAGGAAAACTCGAGAGGCTGATCCCATTAACTCAATGGGTTTAAGTCGAATGTAGAAGAATGGAACCACTGGTTGATGGGCCACGGAAACCATAGTACTCGAGTCTGTCTAAAAGAAGTTGATGATTGACCGCGTCGAAGGCTTAGGGATGTCTAAGAAGACACGGAGACGGAACAGAGAACGTCGCTGGTGAAACACTGAAATGCTGATTCTGTTGATTTTGGACCTTAATTAAGAACCAAATTGGAAATGTAGAAGGGCGGGGAAGGGGAGGGGGAGGGGGGAGTCGAGGATTAGAGGAGCAAGGAAGGGGTAAGAGGGGGGTAAGAAGGGGGGGTGAGGGATGAAGAGGGGGAGGGCGAAGGGGGACAGAAGAGGGAAAAGGGGTGAAAAGACGGGAATAAGGAGAGAAGATAAGGAAGAAGGTGTGATAATGGGGGGGGGGCAGCAGTAGGAATACAGAAAAGGGGCATATGGGTGAAAAAGAGTGAGAAGGGAGTGGGGAAGAAAGAAGAAGAAGAAGAAGAAGAGGGTGGTGAGAAGGATGAAGGGAGACAAGAGAGGAGGAAGGGTGGAAGGAGTAGGGGGTGAGAAGAGGGGAGTAAAGCTGGAAGTGTGAAAGGTGAGAAAGAAGGACAGGAGTGGAAGAAAGATCAGGTGAAGGGAAGGTGAGGAAGGGTGCCAGAAGGGGAAGGCATGGGAATAGGGATAGGGTGGAAGGGGAAGTGGAAGGGGTAGGGGAGGTAAGGGGAAGGGCGGGGTAAGGGTGAAGGGTGCAGGTGGGGGTTGAGAGAAGAGGTGAACGTGAGGAAATGGAGGAAGGTGGAAGGGATGAAAAGGAAGAAGAAAAAGAGGAGGAGGAAGACGAAGAAGAGAAAAAGGAGTAGGAAAAATGAGAAGGAAGGAGGAGGAGGAGGAGTAGGGGGAAGACGAGGAGGAAGAGGTAGAGGAGGAAGATTTAGAAGAGGAAGAGGAGGAAGAGGTAGAGGAGGAAGAGGAAGAAGAGGAAGAAGAGGAAGAGGAGGAGGAAGAGGAAGAAAAGAAGAGGCAAGAATTAATTAATATTCGTTACTCAATGCATGAACATCACTAATACTGCCGTGCCATTACCGCACTTCATTCCTCTAGCGATTTACTCACCTGCAGGGCTTTCTTGGGCGACTCCTGCGCCGTGAGGGCGTCGAGGGCGCCCACGACCGCCCGCGCCGCCCGCCCGTGCGCCACCACGTTGGGGAAGGCGCCGAACAGCCCCTGCAGCGTGTTCAGCGCCCGCGCCCCACGCACCCGGAGTAGCCGCGCCAGGAACGCGTCTCTGTGGGGGGATCTCGTGTCACTCAATTGCGTACTATTTGTGTCTACATTTATACATTTAATAAGGGCATATTATCTCTCTCTCTCTCTCTCTCTCTCTCTCTCTCTCTCTCTCTTCTCTCTCCTCTCTTCTCTCTCCATCTCTCTCTCCCTCTCCCTCTCTCTCTCTCTCCCTCTCTCACACACAATAGCCTTTTTAAGACCCTATAAGAGCAGAACTCTTTTATAAGCTGAATCTATCAACCTAAACAAAAATATCAAAACGGTAAACTACATCCAGCCAAAACCCATACTTATTTTCAATCTTTAATACACACACACACACACACACACACACACACACACACACAGAGGCCCAATGAATATTCATATATTTTATTCCGAAGTCGCGTTCATTGCATGCGGACACT